GCCAAATGTTTATGCATCAGACAGAAATAAATTAGTATTCCTTTATAATTCAAACAAGACAAATTAGTGGCAATTAAAACTCTTTCATATACTTCAGAGTGCACTCTAACTCTCTCTTTTCTGCCTTTACAGCAAACATTAGTTTCTAAGACATAACAGGAATGCTTTTTCATAGGGAAATGGCAGTGTTTCATGTGGAAAGCATTCCCTAAGCATGCTGTGGACAACTGTATATCCACTTCATAGCTATTGCTACAGCATTGAGGCTTCATTCATCTCTTCCCTGTGTCCCGCCTCTGGTCATAAAATGGATCGTACATCCTTGGGTAAGGGAGATACTGATCCTTAACTTTGGCAGAATTATACCTACTGCGTTGCTAGGTTTGTTCCATCTTAATAATTACATGTGTGTATATATAATGTAGGTGGTTATGTGTGTTTTTCATTTTGTGCTTGTCCAGTTTGTGATTTTTTTACTTGCTTAGGAGTGCTGAGTATGTGCAGTCGTGATGTCAGAAATAACTATAGCTTGCCAGCGCATTAGCTGAGAAGATAGCATCCCCAAGTATTGGCATACAGACAATGAATTACCTCTGTGAGAACGGTGGTCATTTCTGAGGTTAGCAGCTTCGGTATTATTGTAGGAAGTACATGTCTCATCTCTAAAACTTTAGCATTTATTTTGAGAATGTCTGAAATGCACATTAAAAGAAAGAGTCCCTGCCTTCAATTTGTACATAAACCTGTGAATCAATTCCAATGGAGAAAATGCTTTGATATTGAAAGTCAATTGACTCCTTGTTGCTTTGCTGTGTTACCTTTAACTTAGGTTCTCAGTGCTGTGCAAGTGCATTTGTCTTTATTAGGCTGGTGAATGTAGTCCTGTTCCAAATGAGTTTTTGTGTTTGCTCAGCAGATGCTTGCAAGAATAAGAGTAATATTTGAAACACATTTTAATTATTGAGTCTATAAACAGTATTATAAATACTGGCAATCAACAGAACTAGAATTAGCTTTAGACGAATCAACTCCTAGCCTTTATAGAGGATGATTCATTTTTAAATCTTAAAGCATTAGACAAATGATACATTTTTAAAGGTAAACATACCACTGAGGTTAGGACCTAACTATCTTTTAAGGGATGTCTTAGTGACTCACGCAGCAGTTAACTAAACAAAAATTCAGAAGAGGCACAGATTTTCCTTTTAATCTTAATCACTGAAGCACTATTAATCACTATTTGCAGGACAGTCTTCTCCTTTACTAGACAAAAAGAAATTACAGATTCTTTGGGGTGATTTAATTTAGAGCAGTGGCCACCATAGATAAACCTGTTTGGATCATGCTGTGTATATAAACCCCTTTTTTGGGGCAGAGTTTTATTAGAATACGGCTTTCCATGATTATCAGGACAGGAAAAAGAAGATAGATCACGAACTTGTAGGTGATGCACAAAGTTCTTGCGTATGCCACAGGAACAGTGCAGCGATGGAGGGTCAAAGCAAGGCCACGCTGCCACCTGCTGTCGCATAGGGGATGGTAGCGGGTTGATTTCCACGGGCACATCGAGCACTCGTCAAGCAGGGGGTCGGAGCCGCGTGGAAACAGGGCAGGAGGCACTCAGCACAGGCAGGATGCCCACGTCCTTCCGTGGCTCCTGCGGGCTTCCGAGGAATCCCCAGAACCTGGCACAGGGCTATGTCTCTCAGAAGACGGCAACCGAGCAAGGCGTGGACTAAAAGCAGTGATTAATTTGCTGCAGCTCAGGCTTTCCCTGTATTCTTTTCCCTACTTTTCCTTGTATCCCTTCAGTAAAATAAATGGCCCTTTTATTGGACAGAAGGGTGAAGAGAACAGCAGTAGGCCATCCTGAGAGCCACAATTCCTGTTCATTTGCCCGAAGATCCCAAACCCAGCCTCAGGGCTTCTTCTGCAGGACTCTTGTGAGAGCTGCACCCAGAGCAGGGCTAAGATGAGACATTCACCCGAGGCACAGCACTGTACTCAAGTCTCTTGAGCATCTCCACAGTGATTCTCTGCATCTAAAACAACCACAGTATTTCCTATTTGCAAATAGTAACAAGTAGGAAAGTGTTTATGATATGTATGTAATAAAGTAATTTAGAAAATATAAAATAGCCATGCAATTTACTTGTGGTTAATGTAGCAGATTTAAAAAAAAAAAAAAAAAAAAAAAAAAAAAAAAAAAAAGCAACCTAAAGCTTGCTTATTTTCTGTGAATGACAAGAAAGGCCTTGATGAAATGCACGGCATGACTATCAAATAAAATACTAATTATAGTATCACAGAATGGCCTGGGTTGAAAGGGGCCACAATGATCATCGAGTTTCAACCCCCCTGCTGTGTGCAGGGTCACCAACCACTAGACCAGAACACCCAGAGCCACATCCAGCCTGGCCTTGAATGCCTCCAGGGTTTTTGCTAGTATTGGATTCAGTTAGCCAAGTCCAAACCCTGCAGTGAGCTCTGCTATGTAATGCTTAGGAAGTTTCTGCACAGTCTGTGCTGTAAAAACGATAACGTTTATCAAAGCTCTAAAAAGTACACATTCTCTGCTGCCATAAATAATCTAACAAAATGGCTGAGCTATATGGGAAACCTTGGCATGTTTGCTCAGGCACTTGAAATGTAAATAGTCATAAGAACTCATCACATCAAGTTTTGTTTTTTTTTTATGAAAATTAATTTGAAATGCAGCATGTTGCCCTCTATCTGAAGAAGTGTATATTCTGCTGCTATTGGAAATGACAGGTTTTTGCATTAAAAACCCTCTTATTAAATGTAACCTTCAGTCACAGAAATGAGAATTACTACCAAAAAAAGTAAACGGACACCTTTTTGTCTGTTTTTCAGTTAGTTAGTTTATTTGTTTTTAATATTCAATATAATTTTGCTGGTTCCCACAGTTAATCAATGAATAAGTTAGTAATAAGCTTCTGACACAGTGAAGGGATTCTTTAGAAACTTTTCAAAGCAAAGAACATCAACGGAAGGAGAACTCTTGAAACACAATGGTTTATTATGGGACATGTTCTTCAGCTGGATAAATTGAAGGAGTGGCACCTTTGTAATAAAACTCCAGATTACATGCCTCCAGCAAGGAACAGATTAAAAGAAAAGCAAACAGAACTGTCACATCAGAGCCATCACCCATTGCCTCAGCCCTTTCCAATTATCGACATTTCCAAAAGCAATGATTCCACTTCAGAACTGTTTTTCTGAAAGCGTTTTATAAACAAAAATTGAATTTTGAAAAGACAATCTTTAAGTAGGTTTCACTTGAAAATACTAGCATTTTGTATCACAGTAGCACATATCATATCATAGGCAGAAAATGCCTTTCCTTTTCTGTAAGTTTATGCTTTTCTGTAAAGTTATACCTGAATATAATTTAAATATTACATATAAAGCATTTCCCATGGTATATATTTCAAATATACAGTGTTTACATTCTAAGATAACAATATTTCATAGCGTATTTATGTTTTACATTTCTATCTGTATGTATGCTTTACCCATATCCAGATCTTTCTGAAACGAAATTTAACACTGGAAAGACTTCTTAATCAGAGTTTAGTATAACAGCTAGTGCTTTGGAACATGGAAATTTCATATTTTAATTTAGAAACAAGAAGAATTAATTTAAAAGCACAAGCTAGTGTAACAAAGTAATTTAGTATAGTAATTATAGTAATTTAGACAGGCATTTCTAAATGTCATTTTTATTTTCTTCATAGAAGTCAAAGCTTGCTGAGGTGACAGTCTGTGGATGATGCCACATTATTCATATAACAGGAATAAGGCTGACCAAAAAACTGCAGAAGGGCATTATGGAACCGAGTAACAGCGGAATATGGCAGTCAGTGAAGTCCATTGTAAATGAATGTCAATGAATACACACAGGGGAAAAAAAATGTCTTAATTGTACATGGTGAATAGCAAGTTTTGAAGTGATTGTAATTCAAGAAAAAAGATCTCAGAGTTACAACAGACATTTACGCATAACAGCTTTTGTGTTTACTGAGTAGAGCTGGAGCGGATGGACAAAAGCAGCCGAGAGAAGGTTGGGAAGGACTGGCTGTTATCTTTTCCAGTTCAAGGGCTGCGGACATCAAGCGAAGCAATGGGAATCAGGTTCCAAGTTTAAAAATGTGGAAGGTGAAGGTTCTTCAGACAACGGCTATTTGAGCTCTGGAACTTCTTGCCAAAGGATGTGGTGAACAATGAACTTTGAATGGGTCAATGGGAGACTGAGCAAGTTTATGCAAGAGAGATCAGCGTTATTTCCTTATACTTGTTTAAACACTGTTTAATTCATCATTCTTTGTAGTCTGTCTTTACTTTGCCAGACTGTAACTTGCCTCGAGACATTCTAAGTGCCATGCAGTTTATTTCCAAGCAGATGACTGACGGGTGGGACGCTAAATTGCCATTGCTCTCTGTAACTGTGCTTCAAAATACTGCCTGGAAAAGACACTGAAAGCTGTCCAAGGCTAGCTATGAGATGGCCAGCAGTGTGTGCACTGCTTTCCACGGTGTAAGACTGCAGTGCACAGGGGCGCACCCCACCTCCCACCCCTGACACGAAACCTTTCCGCCCATCCCCTCGCACCGCCGGAGGCGTGACTCCCATAGGCGGGTTGCGGCCGGCGTGGCCTGCGATTGGCTCGGAGCGCGGCGAGCAGGTCACGTGACGGGGGAGGGACCAGCATCGGCCGAGCTGTTTATAGCCGCCGGACGGGAGGGAAGGGGGCAGTTCGTTGGGTGCTACGTGCGTGTTACTGCAGTGTGCTGTGCGCGAGCGGCCGGCGGTAAGCGGGGGCTCTGTGCTACTGGAGAGGAGCGGGGCTGGAAGGCTCTGCGTTTGGATCTTGGCGGGCTCCGGGCGCGCCTCCCTATTGGCTGCGCGGCGCAGGGGCGGGGCTCCGTCTCCCGCCATTTTGGGCGTGCGTTACTTCAGGTAGGGCGATAGGGTGCTTCTGAGGGGTGTCTGGGCTGCTACGGGGAGGCTGTGGGAAGGCTTCGCAGCTGCCGAGCTCGTGGTGACTTCTGGCATCTTGCTGGTGTAGGGCTAAAACGCGTGGAGCTCTGAGCTGAAGGAGCTTCCTAACTGCGTGACTTTGGCTGAGTTCTTAGTGTTGCTGTAAGAGCTTGCGAAGTGGGATCGTAATACTCTGGCTTTAGCCGTAGCCAGGTATTCTAATTTTTTTTTTAATTATTATTTTCTATTCTGCAGTGGTCTGATGAATTCCAAAATGAAACAAAGCCTGAACGTGGAGAACCCATCTGGATCTCTGCAGGTATGAGCTTTGAGGTGTTGCTACTAGAATGCAGGAGCATGTAAAGAACAGAAAGTGCAAGGTGCAAGTTGGCGAGTGCTGTGTTGTGAATAACCTTGGTGTGTTTGAAGGTGTGCACTGTGATGTCTTGGAAATGGGCTGTTAGAGGCACAAACCATATATCCACTTGAGGTATGCAACGTGCTCCCACCTGACTTAATGCTCTTGTCTTGGGAATGCTGTATTCTGCTTGAGCAGATGTGTTTGAGTGCTCTTCAGTACACAACAAGTATGTATTAGCTGAAGTCTGAGGTAGCTTGCTGTCTTAAAGCTGCTGCTGGCCTGCTGCAGTTCAGTTACTGTGTGTAGGGCTCTACAGAGTGGGTTCTGTTGTGGGGGTGAGCTTACAGGTGAAGCCATCTTGGTTTGAGCATAGTGTAATTGTTGTATGTCTGTAGGTTTTTTCTAGAACCGCTTTAATAAGTCTTAATTGCCTTGAGATGATAGCAAAGCTTACTTTTTTTATTTCCGAGCTAGCTGTTTAGAAGTTACCTGAGATTATACTGAACTTACTTTTTTTTTTAATTAAATGTAGACTTTGACTGGAACTGGAAAATATGACATAATGTAGTCTAATAGCACTTAAGTGAGATTGATTACAACAAGAATTTATTAGTGAAAATGATCTTTGATAAGTCTGCTTTTTTTTTTTGTACTTTCAAATACTTAATTGTCATGTGTTAAGTCAACTATTAGTCAATAGTTCCCTGGCAGAGCATACTGAATGCTGGTCCTCAATAGCAGCAAGCAGTGTCTGACACAGTATGATTCCTGTTCCCACAGTGGTTAGTGTTTGTCCTGCAGTTCAACAGCAGGGTAATTGGTGGCAGAAACTACCGTGGGAAAGGTGAGCTCCTGTCATATGAAGCATGGTGTGTGGATCGGTGACTTTCTCACGCTGGCGTGGCATTGTATTCTGGTTATTTTTGCTTGGTTTTCTGCCATTGTTTGCTGTCCCATGGTGGCCATGTAACCAACCCAATCAGAGAGCATTAGTGTAGGAAATAGATATTTACGTACAAGAAGAAAAGTAACAAATATATTGTTTATACAAAACAGTAGCCTGTCTGGATCCAAGCAAAGAAGTTGTGGCTTCACTTTGATTAACTGAAGCAACACCATGTGTATAAATGAATACCATTTATGTGTTCATAGACAGTAAAACCACCAATAAAACAATGTAGCATGGTAAATAAACTTGCTATTGCAGCCTTTGTTTCTGTTGTGTAATACTTTGTTTCAGAGTGTAATACTGCTGTTGTCAAACATGGCTTTGGGAGCTTTCATTGTAGCATGTGTTATACTGCTTTTCAACTGGCCTTGGAATGTAGTCATGCATTTCTGCCCAGTGGCCTGTTTAAGCTCTGAGAAGACTGAGGGTAGAGATTGAGCTTGGCTTGATAAGATTACCTCTGTTGTAGAAGACTATATTCCCTTCTTTGCATAATCTTCGAAGTATGTTAAAATATCATCTCTTTTTGAAGAGGTGAACAGTCCATTATGCTAATGGCAACATGGCAAACCGGAGTTTCAGTTTATGTAGGTAAGTGCGGCAACCCTTTGAAGCAGTGTTTCCTTTCTTTAGAAGTACTTCACAGACACTGCATGCAGTGCTGCCCCAAGACAGACTCTTAAGATGATTCAGCCTTCTGCAAAAGGTTGCCTGGTTGGAAGGTGTAATGAGGTAAGAGAATCACTTGTAGCTGTGTAATTATTTCTACTTGTACTGAAGCTTCAACTGAAAAAAAACATGTAATCTACTAATTAGTGACATAATCTAAGCTTACTGTTTTAGTAACAATACTTAAAATTAATAATTTTGGAGTATTTCAGGAAAACATTTGGGAATGTTCTTAAAGAAAACATCCATTATAATCAAATATTATGTAAGCTTGAAATATGTGAAGAAATTGGAGGTGGTAGTCTTACTTGCAGTCCTGGACAAGCTTGCACTTGCTAACTTGTATTAAGAAAACAATAAAAACATACATTTAAATGCTGCTCTGAAACTAAACCTGCTTTTGTTTTATGCAGAAGAAATCTTCAGTCAAGAGGAAACTCTGGAATAACAGGCTTACTTCTTCAGCTTGTAAAGCTGAGGAATCTGTGGACAGAGAGCAAGAAAATGAGAATACAGATGATGTCATTCAAGCTGTAGATCTCATCAAAAGTACGTGGTAATTCTAGGGATAATTTCTTGCTCTTTAAATGCTGTCTTTCTACTTGATATGACTTGAAGCATGGTTGTTTTGTTAGGTGTTTTTATGTAGTGTTTGGGGGAGCTGATGATACTTTCCCACTGTAGTATGCTAAATGCAGTATAGCTGTCTGCTATTAAGAGTGGCTCCCAATACTGATTATTATGAACTCTCTGTGCAATGTTAAGTCTGGTAGTTCTCTACTTCAGCTTATCTATGGGCTTTCAACTGACTAAGCTGAAATGAAGGTCTGTTTTGCTGTAGGGTGCTGATGCTGAAGCTCCTGAGTTTCTCAGGACTAATTATAAAATACTGTGGGTTTTGTGGGTGTTAGTGTTCAGTGTGGACAGTGACTTAAGAGTAAGACTCGTGTCTTCCACATGCTGTAATATTTGGGACATCTTCTAGGAGACTCAGCCTATATAGCCACTAATAAATGTGGGATCTTTTTCTCTGAACTTGTGTTTCTCAATGTAAATGTGCTACTAAGTGTGTGGGGAAAACCACAACACAGTTTCTATTCTTGCAGTATCTGGAATGCTTGTCTGTGAGTTAGATACCTTAAGGTGATCTGAGTTCAGCCCTAGCTTGGACTTACTGTAGCTTCTTACTTTAGAAAGTCCTTCATCTCAATATTGGAAAGAAGTGGCTGAAGAAAGGAGGAAGGCTCTGTATGAAGTGCTTCAAGAAAATGAAAAGGTAGCTGGTGAAAGTTAACTTTTGTACCACCACCAGCTATTGTTCCTCTGTTTTAACAACACTGTTCTGTTGAATTCAGTTACACAAAGAGATTGAACAAAAAGATGGTGAAATCGCCCGCCTAAAGGAGGAAAATGAGGAGCTCATGTCACTGGCTGAACACGTGCATTATTTGACCAGCATGATCGAGGTACTTAAAAGTAACATTGTAGGATGAAATATGAGAGATCTGCAAGGCTGTTATTAGCAAAGCATGACTTCATTTGTGTGCTGATAGAAATGTAGATTATTGTTTGAGCTGCTTTCCACAGGCTAGCTCTGACAAGAGGCATAAGAGCCCTTTTTGGGGAATGAGTTTTTTTTCCAGCTTGCACTTGGTTAAGGAGCTGCAGCAGTATCAGAAGTACTTGGGAGATATGTTCTCCAAAATGAAGATTCAACCTGTTGTCTCTCAAGAACAGTCTGTGCGTGTTAGAGATAGTGACATGCAAAGGAAGAGTTCACTTGCACTTTATTGGGATGAGTTAACTTTTTTGCCACTTTGTGGCCTAAGAAAAGCCTAATGTACAAAGCCTGTCTGCAAGGCTTATAAACTTGTAAACTGTAAAATGGCTTGTTTAATTAAAAGTGGTAATATAGATGCTAATATTGCTGAACTCAATAAAAATTGAAAAGTATGCTTGGTCAGCAGAAGGTCTCAACAAAGAGCTGGGAACCAGAGCTTAGTTACAGCCTTACTCTTTTAAGGGAGAGTGCATCTCTATGCCTCAAGGAAGATAAGTCACCTGCAAGAGCTAAGGCTGATTCCACTAGCTGCTGAATAGTTCTTGGAAACAACATGTTTTGTGCTTTAAATTGCAGACCTACAGTAGATTTAATTTCTGGAAGTAGCTGCTGTTCTTTCTCTCTGAGAGTTCCTTGGAGACTGGTAGCCTTGCTGCTGAGTCTGTGAAAGCAGGAATAGCTTGCCTGTAGCAGCCCTGGAACTATAACAAATAAGCAGCCTTGAAACCTGGATGTACATATGATCATCTAGTTGGTTAGTGTCTGGACTGAGCTCTCTTCTGACATAAGAAGCTGGGTGCCTGGCGGTCTACTTCAGTTATCTGATTGGACTGGACGAGTTGATCAAGTTTACTTCATGAATTTCACAGTAATCTTCAAGTTTCAGTTAGTGTGATTATTTAGATTAGTCTTAAGACTCCATTGATTTACTCCACCTGATATTTCTGTTATTCAGGGAGTGTTGCTTGTTACTGACAGTCTCCCATGCAGAAATAATAAGCTTGAAGTAATGCTAAAGCATTAATTGTATGTAAAACATTTTCAAATACATCTTCTGAGGAGTGAGGTATATGAACCATGTCATGCACTGTTTTAGTGATTACTAAACTCACTTCAGGCTGTCTTACTGGTTATTAAATTCATACAATCCCCTGTGGTTTTTCTAGAGGCTAACGGGGCAAGAATCTGATAATCTTGAGACACTGGAAAGTCTGGCTTTAGATGAATCCAAGCAAGAAAATGAAGAACTTAACCTTGGTGGTGATGCAGACAGCACTTCTTCAGAAGGGCCATCACAAGCATTGTGTGACTTAAGGAAGAGTGTCTTGCTTCAAGTGAAGGAAATTAACTAACAACTGTGACCTTAAGTAGGCTTATGTATGTGGATTCTTTTAATTGCAGACTTCCCCTTGAAAGGGCATACTACATCTTCTCAGGTATAGAAACTCTTGTGGGAGCATGAGGGTGGCTTTTAACTGAAATTATGTAGCAGGGAGTATCTCTGTACTGCTTGTAAAACTTACTACAGGCTGCAGTTAGTTGCTTGTTTAAAATGCAAATACTGTGTATTTCAAACTGTTGTTTAAGTATCAAATGGTCTGACATAATGCATGAGAACAGAGAAATAAATTTTTGCCTTACCAAAGCAGTGTCTTGTCTGAGTTGAGGAATGGCTAATTTTAAGCTCCACAAGTTGATTGTGGCTACTGTAGATAGAAGTTCTCAGTGTATTTAGAAGGACTGCCTGGGCACTTCTGAACTCCCTTGATTTATTTTTATTTTATCCAGAATTCTGGAGAGCAGAATGGCTTGAGGGGAAGGGGAAAAGCAAAAGCTGGAAAAAAACTTGAGTGCTGTTGGTGAGATGTAAGATTTTTTTTTTTTTTCCTGAATGGATAGTAAGACTTCAGATTGATTCTGAGGTTTAGTTAAACCCTTGCTTTGTCACTCTTAAATGATTGCTGCTGTCTTTTAAAGGAGCCTTTTCCAAGGCGTATAGGTGAAAGCTTAAATAGAAAATGGTAGGGTTTTTTTTTGAAATTTAAATTTGTCAGCTTATAGCTCAGTTGGAAGGGACCTGTGGAGATCAAGTCCAGATCCTGAGAGCTTTAGGAGCTAACCAAAAGTGTAAAGCTCATCACTGAGGGCAAAATTGTCAAAATGCTTCTTGAGCTGCTGACAGCTATGGTGTTTACCACCTCACTAAGAAGCCTGTTGCAGTGTTCCACCAACCTCACAGTAAAGAATCTTTATTAATGTCCAGTCTGAAACTCACCTGCATGTTTTGTGCTGTTGTTCTGTTATTGGTAATAAAGGAGCAGAGCCTGCTGCCTCTTGAGGAGAGCAAACAGAGGGAGACCACTCAGACTTGTGTACTCTGCCTCTCCTAGCAAGATGTAGCTTTCAGCCCTGTTACAAGCTTTGCCTTCTTTTGTGTGCTTTCAAAGGCCTTAGTATCTTTCATATTGTGGGGGTCAGAACTGCATCAGTGCAAGTATAGCAAGAGGACTGCCTCTGTTCACTGCTGGGCTATGCTTTAATACCCCCCAAATGTGGTTTGCCCTTGGCTGCCAGGACATGCTGCTGGCACATGCTGAGCCTGCTGTCACTATCTCCAGTCACTTTCTGCTGAGCTGCTCATCTCCTACTCTGTACCTGTGCCAGGCATTACTTTTCCAAACACAGAACCCAGCAATTACCTTTAAACATCGTGCTATTGCTATTACCCACTTCTCCATGGTAACTAGATCCCTCTGAAGCCTCCCCTGGATGCTCTTGCTCGCTCTTCAGCAGCTGTTCTGAGAACTTGATAAAGATGAAGTAGCCATGCTTCAGAGCTGTTCCAAATGGAAACTTGCTGTCTGTTTTCAGAGTACTGTTCTTGGTATTTACCAAGGGATGAGGCAGTATGTTTGTCAGTACAGTGTTTACAAATGTTTCTCTTGTAAATACTTCAAGTCTTTAAGTGTTTACAAGAACAAAAGGTACACTTCAAAAACTTTTGAGGACCTTATCTGATAGCTGTATACAGGAATTAAGTATTTCCAGCTCCAAGTGCTGAGGTACAAGGAAGAGTAGTGCAAGCTTTCTAGTTTTGGGTGGGATCTTCGCAGTTGTTTGGCAAGGGTCTTCCTTGGACAGGCTCTAAAACAAGGTGGTGGCAATTGCAATACCTTGTGAAGAGCTTAATGCAAAATGCAATGCTGCATGACTTTCAGCTGGCTGAAATAATCGGGGATTTTAGGTAGTGGGTTTCTATCAGACCTTCCCAAAACAGGTGCTTCAGGGCATGCACAAATGCTTTCAGAGCTATCAGATTGGTATTTTTAGATTTCTTCTGTATACTATTGTTTCCATATGGGTGCCAGTTAACACCTGTTTCACAACACACTTGAATGGGTATATTGGAATCATTACAGGATTTCTGGCTTCCATTTAGTCTTGAATCTGGTAAGCAAAGCAAGGCATCATGTTTTCCTGGGAATGTAATAAACAAAAGATTACACCCTTCAGTTGTGCTCAGAGGACTAAACATAATTCTTTCCATTGCAGGTGTTTCCTTTAACTTGCGATAATGCAATGCTCTACTGAGCAAAACTAAAACAAAAAAACCTAACAGCTTGGATAATGGCTAACTTTTGTAGAATAATTTTCTTTTTGGGGGAGATGGGTAATATGGTCAAGTGACCTTATTGCCTGCATTCTAAGGTAGTGAAGGTTTTTCATGTCAAAGTAGTTAAGCAGTAGAAGCTGAGGAAACAGTTTTAACTTTTCATAGCAGACCTTTTATGCAGTGGAATTGAATTTATTTGTAGTTTCTTCTTAGGTAGCGTTATTTTCAACATTTGGAGTAATTTACGTTTCCTCAGAGCCATAGAAAGCTATGAAGTTTCATACCTAATTCCTTGGCAAGTTAGACCAAGCGAGTGGAGGCAGCTGTTGGAACTTTATTCATGTTTTGGTGTTTTCTAATTGATACAACACAAGCTTGAATGCTTGATAAAACAATTGTCAGAATGCTCTAAACCCAGAATTTGCATGCACCATCTTCATCTTGCATTTGTCTCATCTTCATTAAAATCTTCATTAAAACAGCCAAGAAGAATGTTTATTAGATCTAAATCGTGTGCTGTTTTTTGATTAAGTTCAAGTAACAAAGGAAAGATGCTTTTGAGTACCTGGATCTTTCTTTGAGTTGAGAAGGACTTTGTGCTAAGTAGATCTTTCATGTCATTCATATATTCTTTATACCCTGCAGCATTTGGCCGGCCTGTGATTAGAACACCTCTTACTTTCAAAAATACACAGGTCAGTTAGTAATTACAGCATGCTTGCACTGGATAACTCCAATGCATACTGTGGCAATTATCAGAGGAAACTAGTTTTGTAATTTGGAAAAAAAAAAAAAAAAAAAACATACTGTGAGAAGACCAGCTGTGAGAGATGAACTGTGGCTTGGAAGCTGAATCTGTATGTGTTCTTTGTTGCAGATGTATTGGACCTTGATCAAGTAATATCTCCTTGTTATATCAGAAATATTAACTATAGAAACATTATCAGGAGCCTTGTGCTGCTGCATTCATCGCTGTTTAAAAATGTCCTAAAACAGTTGTTTCATTTTTTTGTCCTGAATTCATTTTTTTTAAACATACATGCATTGGAGTTGTCTTATCAAAGTACAAGAACTTTCTGTGTGTGGAAAAACTTGTCAAATGTGTGGAAGTTAACATCTGACCTTTTATTTCTGTTCAAATATGTAAGGAAACTTTCACTTACCACTGAAGCACAGCTGTGTAGCTGAAAAGCATCACTAAAGACAAAGGCATTTCATATCCAGCTAAATTACAGAGAACACTGTCATGCAAAACAAAATTATCAGTTCTGGGACCTAAGTAGAGAAGGTGATTTTTCCAAGAAGTCATAAATGCCTTTGTGCAGCCACCTAACCAGCATGCTGCCTCTTTTTCATTGTTCAGCCTGTGGTCACAGTTTGATCTTTTGCTGATGGACCTTAAAGTTTCACAGATGTGGGATGCATTTACTGGGTCCTGGCACTTTTCCACAAAGAAATGCGCACGCCTTGAGGACAGAATGTCAGGTATGTAAGACTGAAGTGTTGTGAGTCTGGACGTGTTTCAGGAAGGAACAGCTGTGCCTGGACTAGCAGAGACAAGTAATCATTGGTTTGGAGGGGGCTCATGTTAGGAAGAATGTTTTAGCTGGAAGACAAGCTCAGCAAAAATAACCATCTCAGTGCAGAAGTTCATTGTATTGAAGACAATGCACAGAGAAGTGAATTAGACCATAATAACTCCTTGGCTGGACAACTAAAATCACTCGATGTTTGGCACTGTATTGCTTGTCTGAGTGACCACAGCACTGACATGCGCTGCAGCTTACTTTGCAGCCTGCACACAAATAAGAAAAAGAGATCAGTTTAGTAATTTTTTTTTTCAAAGGAAGTACACTGTTTATTCATTTACTTTTCCTTAAGGGCTGTCTGAGGTTGTTTTTAGAACTGAATTTGAGATTTTGAGCAGGTTTGAAAATCTACCAAGCCCTCATGTTATTAGTGCTCTGTTCCTGTTGAAACTGAATTGCATTGTTACCAGCTCTTTCTTCAGAAATCATTGTGTATTGTTAACTTATGTTTCCATTCGTGTAATAACAGGGTAGTTGAGAAATGATAAGGATGAGGAAATGATAAGAAGACTCTATTTTCTGCTGCTTTGTAGATCTGCCAACTGACCATGATGAAATGTGATTGGTCATGTTCAAGGCCAAACCCCTGGGGACAGCGACACCTCTGGGGCACCTAAATCAGCTGAAGAGGAGCACTGTGGGTTCTATCATCAGGTAGGATTGCAAATTGAGGTCCATATATAGGATACACAGTCCAGCAATCCTACAGACTTCTAGTTTTGAATGTTTCATGTAATAATCAGTATATAACAGACTGCAGCATGGAGCAAAGCTACATTAGATTGCTTTTTGCAGGCATGCTGATTCCAGGAGGAACCTTATGGATGGCAATGAGAAGCTCTGGGCAGGCAGATTGCTCCTGCTGCTGTAGCTGGAGGCTGTAGGTGACTGTATCTACTGGGCAGAACCCAGCAATGCTAACAGCATGGTGAAAACCACAGTAGTTCACAAAAAGTGTGAGGGGCAAAAAATAAGAACAAGCCACTGACACAAACACCAGGCAAACTCGGTTCCTGAGAGCACTTAACCTGGCGTGCTCCTTAGACTCCACTGCTGCTGGGTTACTTTGGTCCAGGAACTGTTTTCTTCACATACTTTTCTGGGGTGCCCTGGACCTAGTTTTAATGGGTTTTTAGAAGGCTCAAGGTGTTCACTTTTTCAAGAATTTGTAACACCAAGGGCAGAAACTGCTGAGATTCCTGTTTGGTTACTTAAACTGAATGTAGTTTTTTTTTTCCTGTATGTTGTCACAAATCATGTTAAGACAAGACTTTTTCTCTTAGAAAAAAAGTAAATAAAAAAAAGCTAGTGCTTAAACTTACCTTTAGCCTTTATACATCTATATGCCAGGTTCAAGCTTGTCAGTCTCAGGTACCACAATAAAAACCAAACTCTGTGTCTCAATGTTTGCACTCAGATATCTGTGAATTTCCTCACTGAGTCTGAGGGTGCAATTTTCTCATACCCATTTGGTGTGAGCTGTATATATGGGGCTTCTAATAATTAGAATACTATAGTGGATGAGCTTTACAGTAACAAACTCACTTAAACTACAGTGATACAGAAGCAAGTATGCGCCATCAACTCCATTTAGTGTAATACCTGTACGTGTGAGCAACCCGATGTTCTCTGTAGCTTTGGCTTTTTGATCTTCAGGTACTTCTGCGTACCTCAGATCAGTTCAGAATGCAACACCTACATAGCTTTTCCCCCCAAAAAATTGCATTCTGCTCTGTGATGCACAAACTGTAGCCAAGCAAGCTTTTGATGGGATCTGATGACAGATAGAAGAATATAAGAATATTCCTGGTTTCTTTTTAAACACTGTGTGCTTCTTGCTGATGCTCTGAGACAGGAGGAAGGGTGCCCACACAGAGACACTTGAAGCAAACAGAGGAGGAGTGCTAAGAGGATGCACTCTTCACCTTGCTTCAAAAATACTATTTTAGTTTAGAACTTTTTTAATGTGCTTTTGTTCGCCTTACAGAGATACAACTAAGAGCAGTCACTTTCACTATTGTTTCATCACTCTATTTTTCCAAACTTTCTGATTTGTGTGTCTATTTCTGTAACTAAAACAGCTTGCTGCATACCTTCCCTTGGCCAACAGAAAAAAGGAACTTGCAGCAGTTGTGTATACAAAAACATGAGCTAGTATTGTACCATTTCTGTGCCCCTCAAGATATTGCAGTTCTGTCTGCCCTCACACAAATAAGCTGCGTGTTTGCTGTGTGTATTACTTGCTTGCTCAAACGTAGATATTTGTCAGACCTTAATGTTCTTCCAAGTCTTAACATTGATATGGTATGAAACAAAAAGCATTTCTTCACCACAGGAAATCTAGCAGGTAATTTTGCACAATTTAGCTGAACTTTTTTTATATCATAGAATCTTGTAATCTTGTGATTTCCAAATAGGCAGTTCCTGCTGAGTTCTGCCTGTAGTAGTGGGGGGTGATTTCCATGGTAGTTTGAAAGTTACGTGAGCCTAACTATGGAGAGGATACTGGTAGAAAGAAAGATTATACATATGGACTGATGTGCTTAGTACTTAAAAAATAATCTTTATTATAACTTAAATGTGATAGGAAATAAATGTCACAAAACTAAAGGGGGGGGAAAAAAAAAAGCAGAGGTCAGTACAAAAGAACACCTTGAAAGAACTCAGCTGCTGGGACAGGTGTGGTACAAAAACCAGAACATGGTTATTTCACCTTCTGTATAAAGAGTCTATGTCCCTCAGTAAACAAGTAAGCATTTTGAACTGTACAAAATGTACCTTTTTAATTAAAGGGAGAATATATATATTTATAAATATACAGATATGTACATTGTTGTAACATTCACCATTAAAAAAAACAACAAAAACCAGAATAACTTCTGCCTGCCAATGTGTTTGGCGCTAAAGGCTTCCTTTTGATGTGAATTGTTTGCAATCTTTTATATGTAGTCTATGCAAATTTGGATACTATAATTGACATCTAAATATCATTTCATGCATAATAAACACAGTACAGAAACACTCTTCTGCTAAATTCTGTTCACCTCCTCTGTCATCTTCAGGCTCATAATCAACAGCTTGAAGCACTGTCTTCTTGCAGTGGGGGAGCGAATGCATTCACTTCACACTGTTTATTACTGCCTCCAAGGTCTGCTTTAGTTTGTTTCAGTTCTTTATTGAAATCATTCTATAGAAGCTATCCTCCACTAATTACAGCGTGTGAAATCCAATCCTGCTTGCAACCTGCAGGACAGAATGGCTTTGGGGACTCGTGCAATTAGCTGTATTCATCACTACTTCTTGGAATAAATAAATGTGCTTTACCTTTTCATTTAGTTTTTCAAAACCTACGTGGTTATTTGATCCTCATGAATCTCTGGATTAATGATGGTTCATTGCTGGAGGGTGAGAGAAAGGAAATAAAAGACTAGTAGAGGCATTCAGAATGAGTCACTAAAGTGACACCTCCTTGGGCTTGCATCATGCTGCTTCTGGAGGCAAAATTTGAAGAAACTCGCTCTGTATTTCATTACTGAGACAGCCTGTGGAGTTCTGGGCTGCTGGAGTGGTTCTGGGAACACTGTGAGGCAGCAGGCGCTTTGTTCGGCATTGGAGAGAAAGTTGCTTTGTGGTTCTGCTCAAGTGGCCTCCTACTCATCCGTTTCACATACACATCATGTGTCTCAAGTTTTCATGACCACTTCAAGGAAGTAAACGTAATTAATGCTCAGTAAAATATACAAAGATGCCAGATTCTAAAAACTCACAGAAGTTTGCCAAGGCTGAGTAACTGCAATTGCATTATTTATTACAGACCAGTCAAGAAAATATTGTTCCTCAGCCTCATCTGGCTGTTCCATCATAAGCTGCAGAGGAGCCAATAGGAACTCTTTAGCTGTGTTTAGATTTTGCTTTTCCTTAAAAAGTTGGTGAATTGCTACATTTTGGGACGCTCCTTCAAAGTCTTCATTCTACTTCCCACGCTTTATGGCAGCTCCATCTTTCTTTCACGTCTGTTACACTCAGGTTCTTCTCCTAAAAAGCTGTGGCAGATTCAGTTCCACGGCGACTTCCAACTCTGACGAATTCCCGAGGGAATTTGTCCAGCTGTTCGTAGGCCAGTCTCCCATCTTCACCTGAACACATCATGTTAAAGCATCATATCAACCTATATCACTGCCATACAACATGTGAACTATTGGATTCTCTGCTATTAGAAGGTAACCGGTAACTTCTTTCCCTCTTAATATTTCTTACGTTGTTGAAGGCAACTTCAGAAATTACTTGGAAAGTTAAGTATGTTGGTACAAGTAACTTAAGGATTACTTGGAAAAAAATGTTCAAACTATTTCTTAATTTGCCCTTGCGGGTTGCTTTTATTTAGAGCAAAACAGAAGCAGCTCTGGCTTGTATGGCTAGCTGACAGAATCTGTACAACTATCTTACTTAAATGACCTGCAGTGCTGCATGTCTCAGCTGCAGCTGTAATATGAAGCAGATGATGTTTATCTGTTTGTAATTTAGGTGCTTTCACCCACTTGTTGCTTTCTGGCACTTTTAAGAAGTGAGTCTAACCACATCTTGAGCTCACCATTAGCAATCAAAAAAAGGTCTCTGGTACATCATCTAGAAGAATGGTACAATCTTCCAGAGTTTGTATAACAGACATAGGGTTAAATGTTTCAGAATCTGAGTAACAACGTTGGCAGCAGAGTAAGTTCCTGCTAAATTGGTAAATGAAGAGTGTGTGTTTGATGAATTTGCATAAGTAAAATTAGAAATGGACATATACCCATAAGCAAAACATTCTGTCTACCCTATAGAGTTGAGGACAGGCCAGAAAAATACAGCTTTGTTTTTTTTCAGTAAAGTTTTTTTTCAGTACTTCAGTGGAATAGTGCCACTGAAGTACTGGGGTCCTGAAACTGTGCAGCCACAGTTCCAGTCATGCTGATACACAGCTAGATAACAGGTTAATGAGCAGGGTGGCTGCTGCCCCAGAGAAAAATGAAGGTCTCTCCAAGGTGTCTGAGGTTCTGTATGAAGGAGCTGTTGCAGGTTAGGATGTGTCCAAATAAGCATATGGAGATCATTCAGCTCAAATGAAAGCTTGGTAGTGCTAATGGCACTTGCAAGTGTGATTTGTTTCAGTAAGCTGTTTAGGCAGCTAGGAAGTGCAGGGTACAGAGGAAGCCCCGAACAGGGTGTGATATGTTGCAGAAGGGGAGCTGGTCCTGCCTCCTCAAGGAGGAGAGGTTACACTCCCTAGGACAAGCAGAACACAAATGCTGTCTTCTACATAACTTCAATAAAAGGTGTTGTACTGAATGCCTACACTTGTTTGTCAAACATAAAGTCATTATGAAGTAGATCCCTTTTGTCAGCTTTTCCTTTGCTATTTTTCCATTTCTGCTCCCCCCCTAGACTCAGTTCAATTTCTCTCTTTTTGGTCCATTTTCATGATCTTCAGAATGAATTATTTCTAAGAACATATACTTTTAATCTGTTTGTGTGTAATTCAATTGTTTTATGTGTATTTCTGTTCAAAAAGAAAACAAAATGCTGTAAAGGAGGCAACTCACCAAGTGAGAGCAAGGTTTCAGAGGCTACTTTTCTAATCTCTTCATTGTCAGACTGGCAGAGCATGACCAGCATTTTAATACTCTCAGTAGCCTGGAAAATAGAAAAAAGAATCATATGAACACTGCCTATTATGGTTTAATTTCAGAACATCATATAGGAGTATTTACCACCCTCTGTGTTTCCTTTCACTATGCACTTGGAAATACCATCTTGTGTCCTTGGTCTCGTCTTAAAAGTGTTCACAAGCCAAACTGCATGACAACATGCACACCTTTCTGCCCTGTCTCACTTCATGCAGGATGAGAAGGGCTCCTGCTCCACTAGCTTTGGCCAGGAGGCTGTGCAGGGGAAGCTGCTGGAGCGCCCAGCACTAACATGAGAAGCCCCGTATCTCATGCTTCATGCAGGAGAAACCATCACTCTGCTGTAGGTCTATTGCATGGAATATACTTTTTTTTTGCTGTGTCCAGTGCCAGCTGAGTTAGCATGCAACTGTTTTTCTTTCCTTTATGGGAAGTAATACGGAAGTGGTACCAGAGGTGAGCTGAAAATATAGCATGGCCTAAACTTCCTCTTGCAGTCTCTCTGTGCAGTGTCACAAATTTGCTACGTATCTCTTCTACTGCTGCAATCTACGTGCATTATAGTTAGTTTTATCCTGGAAAAGGATTATTTTCTTCCTCTCCTTCAAAACAAAGCTTTGAAACTGTTTCCAAACAAGGAATCTGTACAATGATATGCAGCAATGCAAAACAAAAGCTGCTGTTGCAATTTCTATTTTATCATTCTCACTTCTCAGGTGTCCTTTCTTTAAAGTAATGCCAAGAACCACGACTAAACTCCTTGTCTCTTACCTTGAGGTATCTCAGAGCCAGGCAGGCTGCTTTCTGCAGCTGGAGGTTGGGCTGGGTTAGCGCTTCACAGTAATAAATCAAGGCCTGGAGAAAGATAAAGAGAAGTAGCCTTGAAAATGTCTTTGGCTGAGTGGAGCAGCAGGCTGGAGAGTGGAGTCTGCCATGAATGGCTGGAAGTCAACCCCTAATTTCTTCTCATTCCTTTTCTCCCATCTCTTTAATTTCTGCACTTAATCTGGCTTTACTTCCTACCTTCAGCATCTGTGCTAGACTCACATCTTAGGTGGCAGATCTCAGTTGCCAGCTTCCTTTAGGGGAAAAAAATGCAATCTACATCTTTGTGTGCTGATGATGCTGGGGACTTGCCTTCAAGCTGGGTTTAAGGTAGGCTGGCACAAAGGCCAAGATGTGGAAGATAGCTGTAGAGTTCAGTACTTCCTAAATACATGCATGGTCTGGTTTAGCACCTGTTTAGTACAACAACAGGTAGAAGCAGACTGGCATAATGATAGAAATAAAACTACATATTTGCAGAAAAAATAGGTGGAAAATCCCTCTGGTTCAGTTTAAATCAGGCTCAGAACAATTATTTTATAAAGGTAGACATTTGAGACACACAGACAGAAAAAAAACTTTGTGATTATACAGGTCCCTTATGCAGTAGGTGATTTTCTGCCACTTACCTTCTCCCTGAAGTGCTTGTTTTCTGCAGTAGCTGTCAGAAGTGATGCCACAGACTCACTAACTTCATTTTTATTTTCATTGAGAAGTAAAGCCAAAGCTCTCAAAACTTCTTGCTGTGGTGGGAGGTTGTTGGAGTTTATTTTGGACACGTTTTGATGCAGTTTTCCATCTTTCACAGACTGCAACATCTGAACCACGGAGGCTAGAAGTGTAGGAGGAAGGCTTTTGTTACTTTTTTTTAATCATGTGTTTCAGATTTCTCATTTCCCCACCAACAATCCTCACTATATACAGAGGACAGATGAAAAATCCCCATCTAAATATTGCAGCATTGTGGTGTATCTTCACAGGGAACTGGGCTCTAGGTTGGGTTTGTTTCTCAGACATTCTTCTTAAGGAGGTGTATGGGAACTGTTGAGTCACAGCCTGAACCACTGATTGATCACCTGAGGCAAACACTGAGTCAGCTGTGGGAGCACAGGTGAAGGCAATTCAGCTGTGTGACTGGAAGGGATGGAGCCTGGCTGCACCTCTCTTAGACCTCATTTAAGGGCTGACTGCCCCTGGGGAAGGATCTCTTTCTAGAGCTCACTTCTCTGTGTAGTTTTTTCTGCAAGCCTAGATCTTTGGATAAAGGTGAGTATTTTTTTTCCTGTTTTCATTGGAATAATCTTTCCAGCTGTAACAGGAGGCTATGAGTAGATGGACTAAATGGGATGCTGTTGTATTGCTTAAATTCTCATCATAACAAGGGAAAACCAATATTCTGGCCAGTGTATTGACTTCCGGTACAGTTTCATGGAAGTTTTTCCTAGGCAGGTTGATGTCTCCCATCAAAAGCCAGGGCTTATGTGTTTCAGAAGTGACCTGAAATGTCTCTTTCCTTCCAGGCTTTTGATTAAAGTTCTCCAGTTAGGGAAAACTAGACTCAAACTGCATCTCAGCTAGCTCACTACAGAGTCCTGGAACTCAATGATCTTTGAGGTCTCTTCTAACCTAAGCCATTCTGTGATTTTGTGAAAACTTAACTTGCCAGGAATTGCAGTCTAGCATGCTTTGTGGAACATCTGCTTCTCTCTTTAAGTCTTGGAGGCAGAGCCTACCAGTGGCCTCGGTGCTGTGATCCCTTGGCTCCTGAGAAGATCTCAGCATTTCATAGAATCACAGAATTCATGAGATGTCTGCATAAAGGAGGATGAAAGACTCGAACTCCACCAAAGCTGTGGGCATGGAAAACGTGCCAGGCCTTGGGCCTGGCTCAGCACTATCAGCTATTTCCTGAAAAGTAACTTAGCGTTTTTTTTCTTATTCATTTGTGGAAATAGGAATGACTGATAGTGAATCTGCATCAGCACCTCCCCTTTGATATGTGCAACTCTGGGATGCAGTCACATTTAGTATCTAAGGCATTTCTTTGCCTCTCCCCCATTCTCCTGTAAAATCAGAAGGACACCCATGCAATCCTTATTAGCTACTATATTTTGTATACCCTACCTTCTTTTGCAAGCTGCAGCAAATAGCTTCCAAGGTCATTAACACTGTGGCTGGCAAAATAGTTGTAATACTGAAAGACAGTAATGATTTCTGAGGACATGGTAGAATAGAGGACAGGCTCTGTCCGGTCCAGAATCTGAGACACCAGGATTCGGAAAACTGCAGGGACAAAAGGATGTGTTAGTGAGAACAGAAGCTGCTGGCATTCCTGCCCAGGTGTGTGGCATGCAGAAAGTGAGCCTGGGAATGTCCTGGAGGGCAGCAGAATGGAACAGGAAGGAAAACCCCATCCAGGGTGGGCATCTGCAGTCTGAGCAAGCCATCCTGCTCCTGCCCAAGGAGAGCTAGTCAATGGAGCTGGAGTTTGACAAGTGGTACATCCAACCCCAAAAAGAAACCTATGTTCAGATAGACACACTTGAATTTGTACACATTTCATGCCAGTGAACTGTAATGGGACATGGACATTATATCAACACGTTATGGTTGGACTAGGTGATCTTTGTGGTCTTTTCCAATCTTAATGGTTGTATAAAATTGAGAGGATTCCCACTGCACTGTATCGCTTTCAAATCTGTATTTGGGAATGCACTTTCTGATTACCTCATCAGTCTTTAAACAATGATTTCTTTTCACTTTTTTCTCCTATTCCAATCTGATTATTTCAGGCTAAAATTGTTCCAAGAATTTGTTGTATTAGTTTTCAAATAACATCTTGGAGCCATGCCCAAACAGACCTCCAGGGGTTGGAAAACAAAGCAATGAAAGCTGAGTAAAGCCCAGTGCAAAACTGTTCTCCCTTTTGATGACAAATAACTTCTTTGCAGCAGCAGGAGGTACCTGTTTCTGCAAGCCCTGGACATTCCTCGTTCACAGTGGCAGCAAAATTGATATCCAGCTGCTTCATCATCTTGTCTGCAGATGTGTGATAGACTCCTGAAGGACCAGTACACTTCATCCAGAAAGCCAGCAGTGACAGCTTCTTGTGGAACTCGGGGATTGCTGAAGGAGAAGACAAAATGAATGATGAAGCAAAGCTGTGCTCAGTGCACTCTCTTTCTAAAGGGAAATGTGGTATGTATGGAGAACATCCACTCCGTGTCACTGATGGAAAGTAGGTCACCCTGTGTCACTGCCTTCACAGAGGTGGTTGCATGCTGACCCCAAGTTTGTGATGTGTTATTTCTGTTTCCCGAAGGAAGATGTGAGGAAAATCTGCTTCTGATCCAGTTCTGGACACTGTCTCATCTCTTTTAAATACCATTAATTACTTGGGAAAATAAATGGTCTGCATGAGACTGGTCCCTATCCAAGCACTGCTCTGTAGCCTTGGGTAAGTTGCTCCATTTGGGACACACTGTTTGAGGAGTTGTCTTACGACTCCTGTAGCATAAGGCAGATCTTGAATTTCCTTGGGAAAGAGGTGGAGGACAAATTTGGCTGCCAAGGTGGCAGCATCCCCACCCTGTTGCTGCAGCTACCCTTGCTCACCTTCTCCATGTCAAGCAGGATAAGGATCAGTACAACCCTTTCTCACCTGCTTATTTCTGAATAGGAATACATAAGACAGAATAAGGTGAGGCTGGAGAAGGCCTGGGCAACATGATCTAGCTGTGATGTCCTTGTCTATTGCAGGGGAACTGGACTAGACAGCCCTCAGAGATCCCTTCTAACTCTAAGGATTCTATGAATAAGGTCCCTGACCAGCTTCAGTGATTGCTACATCTGTTTGTGAGTTGTCTCCTGCTATGGTGCACTCCCTGCAGTTAATTACAGTGGTTATTTCGGCAAGCCTCCTGCCCAAACCAGCCCTTTTCAGAAGGAAGACCCCCTAATGTTTCTCTTACCATCAGTAAGGGAGGTGATGCTTCCCAAGTTCTCGGTGCTGATCTCTGCAATATTCTCCATCACAAGAGTCTGCCTGGACAGCTTATCGAGGAGGTCTCTTGTCACAAATGGTGTTTTACCAGAGAAGACAATTTGCTAATGGAGACAAGGTGGAAAGGAAGAAAAGGAGTCATTTTGAAGCTTCAAAACAAAACTTAAACCTCTGAAACACCTGGCACCTGAAGAAATGCAATGGCAAATTCTTTGCCTGGAATTATCAAATATTTCTTGTTGCTCTGCTCTATTTTGGCTCTGATCCCCTGCCCAGCCGCTTCTGTTTGGTGCTTTCCCATGGCCAATACTCCCTGCTGCTGACATCTGTATTTCCTTCAGCAGTCCAACATCATTCATATCAAACCTGGACAGTGTTCAAGCCTGCCTCCCTCAGCTGCATATTTACTGTGCACTCTTGTAGATGAGCCCAAAACTCCCTTTTTCTCATACTTGTGAGTCAGCAGTGTCCAGCTTAGTGCTAAGGGTACAGGGATTAGAGTTGTTCTGCATTGCTACAGTGGGCTTCTGGTTATGTCTGAGGTTGAAGAATCTTCTCCCAAATGCTGGGACTGTTGTGGTGGGGGTGAAGAATATGGGGAGGGGAGGCTCCTACTGCCACCACAGCCATCCCAGCACTCGCTGGCCTTGTTAAACCATTTATCCCCATGAAAAGGTAAAAACATAATGCAAAAATGAACTGTGCTCAGTACCTGAATGAGCTGTGTGCAGTACTGCAAGTGCTTAACTATGGTTATATCGAGGCTGTCGCTTCCTGTGGTCAGGGGCAGAGGGCTGCCAGCAACACTGGTGCCTACCCCTGTGTCCTCAGTCAGGGCTTCGCTGAGGTGGCCCCTGGCTTCAGGGTGCTCAGTCCTGTAACTGCAGAGGGAGGAGGAGGTTAGTGTGGGGCTGTGGCTGCCTGGGCAGACAGACACACATTCACTCAGAGATGGGCAACGAGCACGGAGCAGAGCTGAAAGCAGCGCCCTGGGACCACACAGCCCTTAGAAAGCCAGAAACATGGTGATGAAGACATCATGTCACGCGTGAGCAGAGGTACCTGAGGCACAGTAGGGACAGGCCTTGAACAACGTGGTGTCTGCACCAGTAAGTGTCTATAACCTTGCTGTCACATAGAGGCACAAACACTGGGGGTAAACACCCATCTCTCAACAAATTATCTCCCATATTAGTCCAGAAGAAATAGCATTACAGTTTGTATTGTCTCAAGTACTGAGCTGCTGAGAGTAGGTCTAGGCTATCAGCATCTTTCTGGTGCTATATTCAATGGTCTCTGCAGAAGGGAAACCACTGCTGGAATATGGGACATGATATTTTCATAGGCTGCTTTAGGCACACTGTGTACAGCTTAGTTTGCCAGTAGTTTCTGTAAGAATGTAAAGCTGTTCTCGCTGTGTTTTAAATCATTATTTCCAACTTAGTCTTGTACAAATGGTCCTCCCTGTGTTTAAATACAAAGCCCGAGGTCATGCCCCAGACTGTAAGTGTGCTTGGCTGCAGGGCTGGGAGCGTCAGTGCCTGCGGTCCTTACACTGAGTCGCATGCAGCTAAAAGTGGAAGCAGGAATCCACATTGTCTGGGATGAGCCCAGGGGGGAAACATGAGATTTTTAACTTCAAGATTTTAGTTAGGTTCCAAGTTAGCTTACAACTAACTTCAATTTCTTCTGCTCAACTTAAAATTATGATGAAGTGCCAGCTTAAAGCCAAATCTTTAAATCAATGACCTAAGCTCAGAATACCAGAACAGCAAGCAACACAATTTTCTGAGTTTTTCTTCCCACCCTATCTCAGCCTGGGAAGAGGCAACACAGAAATGATGGGAACTGAATGGTTGTTGCTCGTTTGCACTCAGAATTGTTTTGAATGGGCCATGATAAGATGTAAGAAGCAGAGCTTCCCTGTTGAAAAGCATGTGGGCTGAAAGAGATGCGCTCTGCTTTTTCTTTTTTCCTGCTCTAGTGTCACATGCAGGCAGTGGTAAGGAAGCAGATGTGCTTTTAGGATCTAATGATCAAAACACAGCATCTTATGGTCACACAACAACGGCAAACCACAACACAAAACACCACAGCTTTTTTTTCTCTCTCTCTTTTTTTTTTTTTCCCTCAAAAAGACCAGAAGTGATGAAAGAAGGGCAGGTAACACGCAGGGCCATGGACAGAGTACCAGTCATCACTCTTACATTCCAAAGGAAACCTACACCATGCTGCTTAAATCTGGCCCTGTGTTATTGTTATTGACAAGCTTAATCCACTGCAAAGACTCATTCGGCTAGAGAGAAAAGACAAAGGGAGGGGGGAAAAACCACAGAGGAATTAGTAATTACATCCAAGGAAAGCCAGGTCCAAACCTATGTCAAGGAAGAGGCTCTGCCAGTATCGATGACAGCTTAATTTAATTTACCCATCTCTTTTTGGGGGGCAGATTGCGCATATTTGAAAAGATTATCCTGGAAGCTAAAGATTTGGTACGCAGCAGCCACCGGAAACCCTCTGACCCTATAAACTCCTCCAGGATTTGTCAATCTTCCTTGAATAATGTATGCACCGGGATCCTCTGTTAGCAACAAAGAGCTGGGGGATCAGTTTGGCTTAAGCACAGCTGGCAGTTGCTACAAACTTACCTATTCTTCTCAACCTCAGTATCTGAAAATACTGAGTCTGCACCTCCTCCACCATTACAAACCTCCTCACCACCACCATCCTCATCATCAAAGTCAGAGGTGTTCAGGAAATCAAAGCTTTCTAAAGCACTTTCAACTGTTAGACTTAAACTGGAGGACCTGCTTCGGCTTACTGCTGGCTTGCACTGCAAAAGCAGAACGAACCAATGAAAACCCCAGATATTAGCTACTACTGAAAGAAAAACATAAAGGATAAAGCTTAAAATTTTCAAATTCTTCATTTTATTTATAATACTTCATTTTATTGGGTATTTCATTTCAAACCTTCATATTCATAGCATACACAATCAAAGCCTGGAAACTAGAAAATCCCTTTCTCCTCCCCTCCTACCTCCTCCTTCACCCAAAGAGAAGACCTGCAAAGGCAAAAATCAGCATGTTTTATAGAAAGAACAGGTACATCTCAAGTCCAAGTGACACAGCTTTCAACATCCTCCAAAAGGAGAGATGGTAATTAGAACACTGGAATTTGAAAAAGAAAGGCACATTGCATAATGGCTGTTACAGGTACAAAAGCAGATTTATATATAAATACATATACAATGGCACTACTGAATATATTCCAGATATAACTCCAATGAAGCTAAGCCATATTGGTCCCACATCTGCAGATGTATACATGTGATGGAAGAGAGAGGACTTCTGTGGCCTTTGAAGCCACACTGCTTATGAAGGAAAATGCACTGATTTCCTAGGTGACAGAAAAAGGTAGCATTCTAACCTGCAAACCAACAGTGCCTAGAGAGGGAGGAAGTCATCCTATCTCACTGCTGGGATGAAATACCACCAAGGCCTTGCTGGTGCTGCAGGAAGTACCAAAGCCCTGGTTACATGTGGTGCTTCATCCAGGTGTGCCCACAGACTTGATGCCAAGGTTACTTTGCCAGAGCAAATGATGATCAGCAGATGGAGTTGTGTGAGGACTTCTGCACCTCATGCACTGCGTGACCACTGACGCAGGTACAAAGCTGCATCTTCCAGTCCCAAGTAGGAACCAGGACTCTGTTTCAACTAGTAAAAGAAAACAAGCTGGCCTCTGAGTCTGGACTTGGCTCTTCTAGAACTGTCAAGGTTTGGAGTTTTGCTTCTAGTTTGTTTGCAAATTGTTATGTTAGCATTTATGATGCTTGTCATCTTGAACTGACAGCACAGTCTTTCACTATTCAAACACAGTCCACAACATCTCCACAGGGCTGTCATACTTGTGCGGCACAGATGGCTTTAGCTGCTACTTCTTTCGAGGCTGGTAGTGCAGCTTCTTCAGGCAAGAGCAACAGCAACATGTGGGCTTCATATTTCTCTGACCATCTGACATGGCCAAGAAAGCTTTCTTCAGACACAGCTGGATACCAGCTCAGCCTTCTGAGCCCAGTACAACCACTGGGGATGCTGTGCACCCACCTGCAAGCTGGTTAATAGCCACATGCAGATGGAAAGCAGGTCTGGAAGAAGCAGCCATCCCCAGTGTGCAGGGCTCCTGTCTGCACATCTGTCCTCTCTCCCACCATGCCTGTCCCTTTATGGCTTCCAAAAAAAGGAAAGTGAATGAGCAGTCTCCATTGTCCCTGTGTTGCTTGGACACTCAACTTCATGGTGGAGCAGCCATGAAGTTGAAAATCAACAGTAATGGTAGCTTTGCCTGTTTCAAATACTGAGGAAATAGTACGAAAATCAGGGGCTGCAGACTGTCAAAAAAAAAACCACCACTTAGCTTGGGGAAATACCGTGCAGCTGCATACACCAATGGAAACAAAGATGTTAACAAAGCTGTGGGCTTTTTTTTTTTGTAAAAAAGATGAATGCTTCCCTCCTTCCTCCTCAGCCTTGTACTTAAAGGATGAGATTTAAATGACTATCAGACCAACTTGCACATGAATATGAAGCATTTGAAATGATTATTTCCCATGTGATACTATTTGCTCAGTAACATATCATGAGTTATTATTCACAGGGAGATATGAGTCACAGTGATCAGCAGTCAACATACTAACAACACACATACAAAATTCATTACTTCTTTCCAATCTCCAATGTGTTTGGTTCATCCTGGTGTAAAGACAGGATTTCTTCTTTTAAAAATGCATGGGGGAAAAAGAGAAAAGGCTTGGGGAAAAAAGCAAGGAAGGAATGGCAACCTTCAGTAGGATCTGCGCTTCAAAAATCACCTTGGCAGTTCAGAAAATTCAGCTGCCATGCCTACATGGCCTGATCCTCAGCTGGTGTAGCTTTGCAGAGCTCTGTGTAGTTCAGTGCCAAAGTACACCCACCAAGGATGCGGCTTGTGAATTTTAAAGGCAGAAGATTGGCTATAATATGATCTCCAGTATGGCACAACTAACAGGCTCTCAAGTGGTTTCTGCAGAGAAAGGCATAATGTAATTGCCCCTCTGCCATTGTACCTTTTTCTCTTTCCCCCAAGTTTTGAGTAGATTAAAGGATCCATTACTCAAGCATACAAGGCTACCACCAGCACACTGCAGACACATGCTTAAAAATACAACACTGTGAAAGGGTGCTCCAACAGGAGCAAATCTGTTTAGTGATATCTGATTTGATGTTTGTGTGGAAGAGGAAGAGATTCTACTCGCTCAGATCTCCTTTAGTGTAGTACTTTCCGAAAATGTACTCACTTTTAGGATGTCATCCAGATGCATCACTTCCTGGTCCAGGTCCTGAAACTCTTTGTACTGCTCTTTATGAGGCTCAAGAGCTAAGAGAAGCCCTTGCAAGGCTTCTTCAATGCTTCCATCGAGATAAGACTTGTAGCCTTCTGACTCCCCACTGATGGACCCCTCACACGGCAGCCTCTCTGGGGTCCCAGGCACCTCAGCAGACGTCAGCCTTTTCACCAGCTGCTTGGTGATGTTGCCCTCATAGGTGTCCAGCTCCACCGGCTTTAGTTCAGAACCTTCATCTGTGTCCTGCAGGAGAGACACCGGGACGCTCGCCTCTATAAAGACACGATCGCTCCGGGCATCGGAGGGCTTTTGGCAAGCTTCAGAATGTGCCCTGGGGGTGGCCTTGATCCCAGTCACTGCTGCCTCTCCGGAGGATGGCAGGTCCTTGGGCTCAGGGACAGAGTCTCCGCAGGAGTCACTGCTGCTGCAGTCTGGGCTCGAGCTCTCAGACGACTTGTGAGCTCGGTGCTGAGTAGCAGTGGTGGTGATATCGGGGCTGGAGCTGACGTGAGCAGAGGAGGGCTCTGCTGGGTTGGCAGGGGGCACGCGGTCTTCATAAGGCAGGTCGCCAAAAGTGAAGGAAAGAGGCCGCTTCTCTGTGGTTGCTGTTCCATTTTCAAAGACATCATCTGGCAAGTTTGACTGAAAAGAGAATTGAGAAAGAGAGCAAATGTCTTTCATGTCTCATTGGAAAGAAAAAAAAATGATCTATGTGTCTGGGAAAGACAAATACAAGGAATAAGATTCGAGAAGCAGTCAAGACTTGAGAAATGGGAAAATTGAAGTCCAACTTGTGCTTTCATCTGGCACAGTTCCCGACTCCAGAAGGATTCTGCTGGTAACTCTAGGTTCAACATCTCTTTGGGGTAAGTCAAGAGCTCTGGTAAGCATGTCCCACAGCAGCAACCAAGCACTGTTTGTCTAAGCAAATTGACTGACAGCACTTCCATGGCACTACCCCACTTCTTGTGGGAAATCCTCCTGATGGGCTGCACTCAAGCTATCTTGGCTACATTTTCATGTTCTTACAGATT